AAAATGGAGTTCGAACTTCATACCGATTCCGTGGAGCATCGTTTAAAATATCTTCTTACGAAAATTTTTTATACTATTCCAACTCTAGGTCCACTTTTTTTACAACTTAATATTGAATTGGTGCCCGATGAATGGCGCTTGTTCATCGATTCAAGCAAAAACAGCTTGAAAGCAGTTTTGTTTCATAACGGAAATTCTAAGCCATCAATTCCCATCGCCTATTCCAACCAGTTAAATGAATCATATGAAATATTTATTGTCAAAAATAAATTATTCCATTTACGAATTTAAGATATGCTGCGATCTCAAAATGATCGCAATCCTGACGAAAGTAAAATATGAGATAGGTTAGCTTAGCATAATATATTTATTTAAATATGAGAAATATAACTATTTCATTTAAAATAAATTGTTTGGGAATCGTACCGTGTGCAGTGTAGCGAAGAGAATGAAAGCCACAATAAATAAATATATTAAATGTAAGCTATATTAAAAAAGATTTTATAAATAAAGGAAAATTTAAAAAATATAGGTTGTTTAAAAATTGAGTAAGGATTTTATAAAAAAAAATGTATAATAATAATAAGGAAGGTTTGCTGCAAAAATTAAGATATTTTTTTATTTGTAGGGATCATTAGAACCGAAGTTATAAACCTTCAAAAAGTGCTAAAAATGACCCTTTTGGCCACTTTAACCTAAAATAAATAAAAAACCTGTCGTGCTAGAAAAAAACTGACAGCGGATTTAGAATATGCATAAAAAACTGTCTTAAAACATATGTATTTTATTTTCTCCCATAAAATCAAGTCGAAATTTGTCACACAGTGTTATTATTCAATATATACATATTCATAATTTACAAATGATTTTAAAATTTTATTCTCGCACAATCATAATATCTTCTAAAATATCATCCTTGAGATTTCCACGTAAAGTAGAAAATATATATTTTAAAGATGAAAATTCACGTTCTACCCTTACCTAAAATAGATAGTTATATTTATAAAATTATCGTACTTATGTTGACGGTACAGCCATGAAGATTCTAGATAAGTTATATAATTCTGGATATATTGAAGAATTTTCTTCCCAGAATTTTAAAATATTTATATCCATATTTATTTTCCTAACTTCTGAGAACTTTACTATTAAAGATGCAATAGGCATTTTTTGATCCTCCTTTCTATCTGATGATAATTTGATTTTTTTTCTCTATCTAAAAGTAAAATTTAAAGATCTTAATGTTCCAATCATTATTATTATCACTACAACCAATAGGTATTGTCGTAGCCTCCAATATATTGTAAATAATGGAGTTTTGCTTATGCCATAAATCCTTAAGATGGTCTTTAGCCATTTGTTTTTGCTCAATACTCAATAAAACTTGATATCGAGGGTCTAAATATATAGAATGTATACAACACTATTTTGCAAATATTGTTGCTCTCGAATTTTCATGTTTTCTAATTTTTCGTATAAAAAGGACTGTAAATTTTTCTAAATCTAATCGGCATCTAATCCATATGTCTTAAAATCAAATAAACATAATTGTTCTGATTGTAATCTTAATATTGTTATTTTTAAAGGAACTACACTAGTAAGGTCCTTTATTTGGCACCTCATTTTCCGACAAAATGACTTCACATGCTCCTATAATAAAATTATTACAGAAATCTTTCAAACTTAATAATCGTTAGCATCATACAAATTGAGGACCAACGTATTGTGCATTATCATTTAAATTAAAATATTATTACTTGTACTACAAAATAATTCACTTTCAAAATAATCAACGTATTTCTATAACATAGCATATTAATAAATTTACATAATAAAATATTATTACAGTGGAAAATAATTTATGATATCAATCTCTAAATAAAATGGAAGTCCAGGAAGAAAATTGAAAGAAAAAGGTGAAGATAAAATAAATGATTCCACAAAAAGTTAATAAAATTTAAAAAAATTATATTATTTTTTATGACACCTAGAACCCTTGGACCCTCCACTTTTAAAAAGGGTCCGGGTTCAACCAAAATACGAGGGTTCAGGGTCCAGGTTCACATCCCTGATTTAGATCAAGAATATGTTCAAATTATTCATATTGTTATAATAGTATGAAACTATTTTTGAACAAAAAGTACCCAATTTGGTCTCCTTTACATGTTTAAATGAATAAGTGACCAAATATAAAAATATAATGTAAGCTTACTTATATACCAAATGATTTACACGTTGGTGAGAATATAAATATATTTAAGCATAATTTATAAATAAAATGAACGTGAAAGAGGTTCCATTATTAAAAATGGGAATTTATTTTTTGGAACTTTTATATAATTTTTTTAATTCGGGACCAGTTTATTTCCTGTAGCTTAAAATTTACTCTAAAAAAATAAGTAGAGGCAGGCAAGAAATTTTTTTTTGGTTTACATAGAAGCATATATTGCCAGTTGTATATTGTATAAAAAATAAGATAATTTTTTGAAATTAGACAAATCGGAAGAAATGGAAAAATAACAACGTTATTTGTTTTAAATAATATAATAAAGGATTTTCAATATATACCCTGGCTGTTGTTCACTATTATTAATAATCTTAATCGAACATTAGGGATGTAACGATATTTTTTTTCGGATCGGGCCGATATTTCATCCATTTTAAAACGTTTATCAGCCAATATTATAAAATTTTCCGATCCGATCAGATAAAAAATGGCGTTTTTAACAAAAATAAAATGTTATAAATTTTTTTAAAAAAGTTAGATCTAAAATCATTTATTTTTATAAATAAAATCGAAATCCATTTTTATGTTTATTTTTTTAATAATAATAATTAATTAATAAACAATCTGCCATATTGTTATTTTTTTTGCGCATTCTGTTTATAAAAGTGTGCGATAATCACTTCAGAATCTGTTTTTAGTGAAGCTGGTGATATTGATGGCTGACCTCTGACAAATTGGAAATTTTGGTATTTCTAAAAATAAATCTTCGATATATTAATGTTAAATATTATTATAAATATTTATTTCAAATTTCATAATATATTTGTTTATTACTTATTATGTATATAGATTAATGTTATTACTTATTATATAAAAGTAATTTAACAATAAAAATATTTTATATACTTTTAGAATTGCAATTGAATTGTATATAAACTATAACTGATCATTATAATATATTTAAATAATATAAGTTATGGTTAGTATAGATGTTTTATACGAATAAAAAGTGTATTAAAAATTAAAACCATTGGTATCTTTACAGAATACAAAATTAGATATGATATCGGGTCGGTAATCGGCCGATATCAATTTAATATCGGGAATATTGTATCGGATCGGCCTCCAAAAAGTAGTATCGGTACACCCCTATAGCTTAATATATGTATCCTTCCAAACACAACGTAATAATGCCCCCCCCCCGGGTCTGAACCCCGCCCGATCCGTTTAGTCGTGTGAAAAATATCGACCGATTTAAAAAATGTATGTGATCTGGTCAATATTAAAAAATGGGTGCATCTTTTTAATTAATATTTTAGCTTATTAGTTCCACATCATATCTTTTTTCAAACTCAAGGTCCTTTTGTAATACATGTCTCCTTTTTTAAAAACAGTGATTTAAAATAAAAATGTTAAGTTAAGTTTTCCATGAATAATATTTATAAAATTTAGTAATGTGAAGGACACAGATCTGATTTGTCGGAACCATTGGTTAATAAGGCCATTATTTTTTAAATAAGGTTATATATTGCCAAAATTTGATAGGAACCCATAGGAAATATCGGATCGGCCTCCAAAAAGTGGTATCGGTACATCCCTATCAAACAATTTCTATGGTTATCGTTATCAGACCTGTGATCGGTCTGCCATTTTTAATGTATAAGATGAATTCTATTGACTGAGAAAAGGTCGGTTAACGTTTATCATCATTAAACTGGAAATGTTTATTATAAGACTTGCTAGCAAATACGTCATAATGGCACTCATAAGAAAGCCGCGTTCATGTTAAGCAGTAATTGTGTTAATACCATTTTGGAATCTTTTAAATCACGAGAATATTTATTACTCTCATTATTATCAATATATTTCTTCATTTCATATATTGCGAGATTTGCATGGAGCATTTCGATTGGATCCACTATTTAAGAACTAATTAAATAAGGGCTAGTTTTTAAATTAAAAATGTACAATTACATTAAAATTACATATTTTATATATAAATATTTCACGATATATAATATTAATAATATTCTAAAACAACATTATAAAATATTTCATATTTTTTGGAAAAAGGTTGCTAAAAAAAATATGAATTGGGAAGGGAAATTACAGCCATGGCCTCATCTCCTAAACGGGTCCGTAAATACACCTCTAAAAATGCGATAATTATAATATTATAGACCTTAAATTAAGATTATTAAGCGAATTAATCTTTTCATAATAAGCAAGGCAATAAATAATTTAAGCAGGGACCGAAAAGGTGGGAGTGAAACTTAATAATAATGAAAAGAGAACAGTTATTCTATTTTTTTTTGATCGGGGAGAAATATTCCATTTTTTAAAAAAAATTTAAAAATATTGCCCATTCTGTATTATAAATTATAATTATTAAGATTATAAAGAAATGTCTTTTTTTAAAACAAATTTAAAATAATTACAATTTATTTAGTTATTTTATTATTTAAAATGTTGAATTACAATGGTAACTTTTGTTATTAAGTTGGTGTTAGGTGTTTTTCTACTTATTAACATCAACCGATAAAATATATGAATTCCTATTATTTAAATCGAAAAATTATTTAATCGTTTTTGAATAGGCCTAGTTGTCAGTTGTATAAACCTAATCGCTGTTATTATTATGAATTTATATAAAAGATGATAAAAATTAAACACAATGAAAACTTATTTAGCGGGTAAAAGGGTTATTTATTAATAAATTCCAAATCTGTGGTAACTATAAAAATTGGGAAAAACCATATAAAGGTAAATATCAAAGTTTATAAAGGATAATATCTCGCACAAAAAATCATGGAAAAATTTTTGAGAATATAAACATTTAATAAATTCAACAATTTTTGCTATCAACTTAAATTCATTTTTTTAAACAAATTTCCAAAGAAAAAATTATTGCCGTCTTGATGCTCCGCCTTTTTTAATTAAGGTTTTGATATAGTCATCGATCTTTTGATTGATCCTAAATAATTTTGTGTAAAATAAAATGTCATAGCAGTTACTTAGGCTCCTTTTAACTTATTATATAAAGATATTATTTATACAGCCCGAGCCGACGGGTTAGGTAATTTATATAAGTATTTTTTGTTGGGCCACCAAAAATAGCTTAATGGACAGGGTTAAAAAATGACGGGTATAAAGGTTTTAACTAGTTAATTCGGGCCGTGTTGATCTCAAATATATAGCGCAAATGATCACCATTTTCTATAAAAATTGCGACTCTATTTTAAAATAAACTTTTTCAATAAGCTGCAATCTTATAACATTTTTGATTTTTTTTATTTAATTCCCTATTTTTATATTCAATATATTAATTTTCATATAACATGATAGTTCATAATAAAATTATATTTATAAAATAACTTTCAAATATGTATACAATACAATTTTAAGTTACAATTCAAGCTAATTTTTTGGATTAAACCATCGACTAGGCTCGAATAATGAAATTCATTATTAAGCAGTAGGTCTATTCAAAAAAAATGAATCGAATTGAATGAATACGAATAATAAATTATTTGTTTTATATTCGAGTAATAAATTGTTTTTAATAAATCTAACATTTGTCATTTCTATTTGTTAACTTGCCAATCTGACAAATGTGATTATAAAAAAGACTAGCACAAATTTAAAAAATCTCTGATGTGAAAATTGAAGCAATAACATTTTTTTATTTGCCATATTTTTTGAATTTCACGAATTTTTTGAATCTCATAATAAATTATATTTAAAAATTGCCCTAACCAAATGTATATAAAAATATTATATATTTCTACAATAAATTATTGTTAGTTAGCCTAATTATGATAGAGGAGAATGCTTCTGATGAAATAGTTCTGCTTGATGTTGAAGTTGACAACATTTCCTCACAAAAAGAGCGATTATATGGGATCAATATCAAATCAATATATACGGTGAAAAGGTTGCTTGCAATCATTGCAAAAGCATTATAAAATGTTATGGCAAAAACAACATCCCCTCTTATTAATCATAATAATAGGTTCCATTCACATCGCAGCAAAAATGTAATAAAATTGACATTTTTTTAAAGCATACATCATCAATTTTTTTATCTAAAAAAATTAATTTTAAAGATAACTTGTTAAAGCTATTTATAAATAATAATATACCTTTTAAAACTGTTAATACAAAAGATTTTATAAGTGATCTTGATTGTTCTGTAAAATCAAAATGCTCCAATATTCTTAAATTACATATGTATAGTACATTTACAGAAAAAGAACAGCTGGTAAAGGAAATAATATCCAAAAATAGAAGTCAGATTAATTTTTCATCTGACATTTAGATTAGTTTAACATAGGTTCCTTTTTGGGCTAACAGTATGGGTGGGACCAATACCAATATATTATTGACTTACAATACTAACCAATACCAATATTAAAAATAGATAAATACATATAATTATTTGGTTTTACCGTTAATGATTATTTTGGTTTTATCGTCGATATCGTGCTACTATAAAATTTTTTTCTCGGTCATGGGTTACTTTATTTGAATATTTACTGACTAAATTTATTAAATCCGATATTTCTTTAGCAAATAAGAAATTTTATGTACTGTGATATCAATATTGGTGTTTTTAATTTATTTTTATATTATTTATAACCCTTCATTAATATTAGTTTCTAGAAAAACACTAAAAATAGAAATTATGAAACATTATCATAGTTCTTTTAACAATCTAAAATCTGTACTTTCTAACATTACATCTAAATTTTCCTTAACAATGGACATATGGTCCTCTCCAAATAAAATACACTTTATGGGCACAACAATTCATTATATTGATAATGATTTTAAATTAAATAATTATTTATTAGATTTTATTCCTTTTAAATCAGCACACAATTCTATTAATATTTATAATTCTGAATTAAAAGTAAAATTTAAAATTGATTTTTTAAAATTATATTAGACAATGCAAGTAATAATTAGTATTTCTAAAAATTTCAAATCAAAAAGATAATTTTAATTTAAATAATGTGTGCAAAGGCTTTTGCCATGTTATACATTTGGCTGTTATGGCCGCCTTGGAAGTCTTAAATAAAATTTTAAATCTAAATACTCGAAAAAATACCTTAAAAAAATTCCAACCTTAAAATTTCATAACCCAATGGTATACCAACACGTTGGAATTTAACATACGATTTACAAAATATCAATGAAGAAAATTATATTAGTGCGTTAGTCTTGAATAATATAGAAATATATCGAGAATTTATGGAACCATTTAATTTCGCTACAGAGATGGCCTCATGTGCAAACACTCCATCAGTTTCAACAATCATTCCCTTTATATTCCAGCATTTGAGTTACAATAATATTCCTAATACTATTTTAAAGAGGGCTTCTTTAGCTGCCTTAGCAAAACTTGATAAATACTATAATTTAATCAACAACCTGTATAATAAACGATTAACCCAGGGTTTAAAATATCAAGTCACCTATTAATGCTATAATAATGCATTCATTGTAAATGAGGGGGTTTTAAATTGATTTCATGATATAAAAAATAACTCTTTTATATTCACAATATTTTGATAGTTGAAAGTAGAGCTAAAATAATTTGTTATTCTTTTTAAAATTTACGAAAGGAGTACCATTATAATTAAAAAGGCGTAATTAATAATGGGAAAACATCGCCGTCGAAGATGTCGATAATTTTTTAGGGAGTAAGCCTAGGTTTTTGAGGGTAGCTTGCATCCAGTGAAAATCCTGTCATGTAGACGCTGAATTAGTCAATGAAGTAATAACTAATAATTCTTCAATAGAAACAAATATCAGAGGTAAACTAAAATGTATAATTAGGGAATGATAGGAGAAATGGGAGGATCTTATAAAAATGAAAGCTATCCTGCCTTTAACTACAAATATGGTATGTGGAGAGAATTATCTTACTTATAATTTGGTCATACCTTATTATATTTTAATTCTTGAACACCTAAAAAAATGGAAAGCCTGATTTACATAAATCTAACAATGGTTTTAAAGCAGCATATGATACATTATTGGACTATTATAATTTAATTAATGATGATGCAATAATAACCACAATATTAGATCCCAGACTTAAAGTGGAATATTTTAAATTAATATTTGCTGATTATGATATTAATATATCCAAGTTAACGGACAAATTTAAAGAGATTTATAACAGCTATACAGGTATTTAAATTATGCCCATTTAAATAAATATGATTTGATTTTATAAGCTGATAATTATAATTGTCAAACAATAAGGATGAAATTCGATAAAGCAGACTAGACATCGTTTTTAAACAAAATAAAATTCAACGGTGTGAAATAAATTTTATCTGAGTGAGCCAACCAAGAGTAATACTGACCCGTGAATGTGGTGGAAGGCAAATGCATAATTCCCATACTCTCGAAATTAGCAAGTGATTACCTTTCTATACAAGGAACATCAAGTGCTCGTGAAAGGCATTTCTCAGTTGGAACTAATTTGTTGTCAAAAAATTGTCATACAAGGAAAAAAATATAAAAACTCTGCTTTAAAAATTTTCTTAGAATTATAAATAAATAATATACATTTTAATTTAGTTTATAACTTGATCACATATTTTTTAATATCAGATTATTGATTACAAATTTTATTATCAACCGATTATTATAATAATTTTTTCTGTTTGTTTAATTTGCAACAAAAACTTTCAAAATATTTGAGGATGGTTTATTTTATCACGAAAATTAATTCCAGTTATTCAAATACAAATAGTAAACGAATCGAATAAGGCACTATTCGATTCGAATTCGTTTTTGAATAGACCTATTTAGCAGGGCTGGATTTTTAAAATTAAATCTTCCAAAAAACAATTACATTTGACTCAACTTGGCTTAATGACACTATTATTCAAAAATGAATCGTTAGATTAGTTTCAAATAGTATTTTTAAATTATCTATCACTTTTTTTAAAAGATTTTATTGCGAACTTAGGTTTCATTTTTAAAATAAATTCAAACCTTAATAAATAAAATATTACAATGCATAAAATAAAATTATTTTGTGATAAACTATTGGCTAAATAATATTAAATTGAAAATAAAATTCAGATAAATAGTTTAATCATTTGTTACCGGGAATGTTTGTAAGATGGAAATGTGTATCTTATAGAATTGTCTGAAATTTCTAAGGTAGATATTTTACAAATGCTGAAATATTTATCTGGAAAAATAGATTTTTCAAATTAAAAAAACTAGATAAATAAGTGGCTTAAAGGAAAAAATAGCAAAATAATTTAATGAGTGCGTTTTAAGTGATTTCGCCTAAAATCCAGAATATATAAAATATCTATCCTATAAATTTTAGGCAATTTCGCCATCAACATATAATTTTTAATTTATAGACTAAAACTACGATAAAATTATATAAATTGACTGAAATATTTTTAAGGCAATACATGCATTAGAGGTCTGCAATGGGCGGGTTTTTAGCGAAAAGCCCGCCCACTCGTTGTCTTGATTTTTTTAACCCACCCGCAAGCTTATAGCTTTTTTAAAAAATTTACCCGTCAGACCGCTCATTTATCTATAAATTTTGTTTAACCCGCCCGCCCAATGCTTAAAAATAATTTTAATAGCATGTTTGGCTTTTTTGGTTTTTTAACCAAACATATATATATATATGCAATATTATTTTTAATAAATTGAAGTATGTTCTGCTCATTTCGCCTGAAAACAATAAAAATTTACCAGTCCGCGCTAGCCCATTATTTTATAATTTTTTTTAACCTATCCAAAGTTGAAAATATTTTTAAAAACCCCGTATTACGCTGGGTGCAAAAATAAAAATCAAACTGATTTTTCAAAATAATTATTAAAATTTATCACTAAATCATTTGACATTTTTCATATGTTTAAAATTTATTGTAATACTACATCTTTTCACCAATTTATTTGATCCTTTATAGCAAACAAATAATA